CATTCTCTTTCTTTGTTGCGGGTAGGAAAGATCTTCCCTACAATTTGAGGCAATGACCTATGAAAGTTGACAAGAGACAATAGATGATCACCATTAACTAATTGCTGTTGGCACGCCTTAAACTTGTGGCTGCGAGGAGGCTTTGAAACGCCCTAAACTTAAAAACCATGCTTAATTATTAATTAGTTAATTTATTATTTCATCATAAAGCTTCACGCAAGTGATGAACGATCAACATGAAAATGATGTAACGTAGACGTACTACTACAAAATGGATAGAAATTAAAAGAGAAAGAGAGATAAAGTGAACCCTGCTCAGAAATCCTTTGTAACCATTTGCTTTGAAGCATTGAGAATTTCCCATCACTCACGGTCTAGTTGACTATGCCTACAATCTACATGGTCGTTCCACGTTTTTTATTACCAAAAATGATTTCGTGAGATATCCCAAAATTAAGAAGTTTCAATGTGCCACCATATCGTTGGGTTGTTTTCAAACCAAATATATATACTATTCAAGATATTCAAATGTCACTAGCGATTTAGGTTAAGATAACGAGATTATACCTAAACATCGTTAGATTTTTCACTATTATAATGTTTTAAGTGCAATAGATGTATGTTTAAGTAAATTTTTCCATAAACATGATAGAAAAATAAAATAAAAAAGAAATAAATTTCATTATAAACTAAGCTAAGCTTATTTCCAAACTAATTTTATAGAAGTTTTCACTTATTAACTTTTTTAAAATCTTATTTTTAACTTATATATGAGCTAGTTTTACGTTATGAAAAATCTTATTTCAATTTTCTTTCACATTTTTTCTCTTAAAAATGTTTCCCAAAGTAATACAAATATATGGAGGTAAATTTTTTACGAGTAAATTATAGATAATTTTTCTGTTAAGAATATAAAGGCATTATATATTACGAGTGGGGTGGAGCCACTTCATGCCTCTATTAAAAATAAAATTAAAATAAATATTAAATAATAAAATTATATTTATCTAATTGGTGTTATGATTAATCCATTAATTTCAAGTTCTTAAATTTTAAAAAAATATTTTTTCTAATTTTTTTAAACAAAAGGGTATGATAATCAAAAAAAATGTGAAGACCAAGGTGGTTATTAAAAATGATATCTCCTTTATATATTAGTATAGATAAATAATTATGATATTAATTAAAACTATAAATAAATTAT